ACTAACAATAGTGTTAAAGCTAAAGAAAACGCTCAACAATTAGATGTTAATTGCTGATTGACTTCACCCTAAAGACTCAAGTGAGACTAAATGGTTGGCCACTTTTCTAATTTAGCATTTTCTTCAGTTTTTTAGAACTCAAGAGATTTTCAGTAGATTTTGGATGAGACAAAGAGTGTCTTTGACCATTACCAGAAAATGTTGGCATTGTCTCAAATCTAGATTTGAATATTACAGTAGCATTATTAGACTCAGGGCCAAGTTCACTTTGTTATCTCGGTATTCATTTTTGTCACAGTACCTGGCATGATCATTTTCAATTTTTGTTGTTGTTGAATAATGTGGCTTTAGAACCAAATATCATAGCAAATATAGAAATATAAAAAATTAAGAATCAGGGCCTCCCTGGTGGTGCAAGGGGTTGAGGCACAACCTACGAGGATGTCCACAGCCACTGCAGCATGAGCTCGAGCCCCGCTAGGGAGCTACCCACATAGTGCAGCAGACCTCTCCTGACTCACACTGCTGCTCCCCTCAGCAGTGTATTTCATTACATCTTCCTGTTCTGTTCCCCACTCTGTCTCTGGTGAATCCTCTCACCTCCCACTCCTCTGGCCTGTACCCCAGTTCTTGTGTGCATAAAAAATTAAAAATAAAATAAAAAATCAGTTTTTTCCACCTATTATACTTCGGATTAGTCTTCTGAGTTAATGAGAAAATGTTTCTCTGAGTATTTGTGATTACTTGCAGCATGGGTAGAATTACATTTTAACGTAAAGTGATTATACATATATACACACGTACAAAACTCACACATATCTGTATCAAGGGTTCAGGGTTAGGGCTACAGTTGAAAGCTTCAGGTGCTTACAGAATGATACAGTTTATGTAAACAACGTCTGTATTGCTCTCAATTTCAATAAATCAACATCTATTATGTACCGGCAATTAAAACTCAAAGTCCTTTAGAGGGAGGAAAAAGGACTATTATGGACAGAATCAAAACCTATCAAGCTCCACGGTGGCATAGCGCTGTATCTGCCAAAAGCAATCATTTACATTTCTACATTACAAGGAAAAATCATTCCTCTTTATTATTCATTTGCAAAAGTTTACAAGGATTTTATCAGGCAGTCCTCACACCAGTTAGTGTTTTCAACACAGCATAGACCAATAGCAACATGAGAGCAGTGTTGGCTGCTCCAAAACCATTAGCAAATGACAACTCAAATTATTTTCTTGCCCTGAACCTATACGCAAAGCCGGGTTTCTCTTTGAGTTTCTGGGTGGCCGACATTTTCCTAGCGGGAGTTGCACACTTCCATGATCTGAAAGGACGGTAAAGACTCCGGCTGGAGGCCAGGCGGCTCCTCCTCGTCAAATCAAATAGCGGTGGGCGCGGCAGAAACCCGACTCCCCCCGCCAGCAACGTACGAGGAGGCCGGGGTCCCCCTGTCCCCCTGGGGCGGGGCGCCGGCCGCGAAACGCGAGCTGGGCCCCCGGCCGGGGGAAACCGGGCTGCCCAGCGCACAGCGCGCCGCGGGCTTCCGCCTCCCGGCTCGGCCCCGCTCCCCGGGCCGCCGCTGCGTCAGGGGCGCGGAAACCCCGTAGGAGCGGGGAGGGCGGGGAAAGCGGCCTCACCACGCTTGCTGCAATATTCTTCCGCCGCAAAGCAAAGAGTCCCGAACTTCCTCCAGTATTCTGTGATTTCCAGCCATCTTTTAATGTCGAGAAATAACCAAAGTTGGGTTTTCCCATCGATGTGTTGTGTGTATTTCCTGAGGGAACATCCCCAAGGTCACAATTTTGTGGCTGACCGGAGCACGTTGAGAAAATTCCTCCGCGGGAAACGGGTTCCGGCCGCGAGCCTATAAAAGACGGGTGGCGCGGCGCTGCTGTCTTTTCAGTCGGGCGCTGAGTGGCTCTTCGGATCATGTCTGGTGGCTCCGCGGATTATAACAGGTATGGCGCTTCTTCGGTGGCGTGTTGGAGGGGGACATTTTACGGCCCGAGAGGGGATTGTAGTAGTTGGCATGGAGGCAGGAAGCTTCGGAGTCAAACGCGCTTCCTTGGGGTCCAGTCCCCCTTGTGTCCTTCGAGAAGCTTCCATGACGGAAGGGGCGCCGGGTGTGGCGAGTCAAGACAAGGGCGGGGACACGGAGGTTACTACCCGGCCGAAGCCGCTTTGAAATACGGGGCGCTCTCGCTGCCCGTGTGGAGCACGACACGGAAAGCCGTGGCGCAGTCCGCATTGGGTACCCTGGCCGAGGCCTGAAGCTTTATTTGCGGCCGGCGGTGCGAGTTGGAGCCTTAAGTTTAGCTGGCGGGGGGCGGGGAGGAGGAGAGGGAGGCGGTGGTGTCCGTTCGCCTCGGAGAGAGCCCGGACGACCCTGGCCGGCAACTGCGTCCCCGCGAACCGTTGGCACAGCCAGGGTCGGGCCGCTCGGCCCGCGTCAATCACAAGGGCTTGCGCAGAGTAAGGGGCGGAGCTCGGCGCGTGGAGCTCTCGCGAGACGGTCCGTCGCCGTGACGGGCGCGCTCGGCCGGGGGGAAGGGCCGGCCGCGGTCAGGCCTTCCGGGCGTCCAGTTAATCAGCCCTTGGACAGGCGCGCCGTGCAAGAGGTGCCCTGCGGCGCCGGCTGCCTTAGCAGTTCTAGGAAGTGTGGGAGAGGATAAGATCGGAGGTGAGGGCGCCTTGCGAAGGAATGTTCTCTAACTGCTATTTTCGTCAGCAGAGAACATGGCGGCCCAGAGGGAATGGACCCCGATGGTGTCATCGAGGTAAGACATGTGTATGGATTTTGAAACTCGGGAAAGGTGAGCTTGTTCATTCCACTGACGACCTTTTTTTTTTTATTATTATTAAAAACAGAGCAACTGGAATGAGATTGTTGATAACTTTGATGATATGAACTTAAAGGAGTCTCTTCTTCGGGGCATCTATGCTTATGGTTTTGAGAAACCTTCAGCTATTCAGCAGAGAGCTATTATTCCTTGTATTAAAGGTAAAAGAACTCGTTGGCGCTTTTAAAAACGAATTTGCTGTTCCACATAGACCTGGACCATAGAAGGGAAAATTTCTGGGGGACTAGCACCTATTTGTATTCCTTAAAGTGAAATGATGGCAATCATCTTTCGGGACTGACCTGAAATGAGGAACATACTCATTGCTGATCACTTGATTATTTGGGCATAATTCATGTGCCAAATGGAATACATGGTGTGAACGAGAATTGACCGTTTGATGTGGGATCGGTAAATATGTATCCTACTTTTTTTAGGGTATGATGTGATTGCTCAAGCTCAGTCAGGTACTGGCAAGACAGCCACATTTGCTATTTCCATCCTGCAACAGTTGGAGATTGAGTTCAAGGAGACCCAAGCACTAGTATTGGCCCCCACCAGAGAACTGGCTCAACAGGTATTGATAGTGTAGTTCAAAAAAACTGCTTGCGTGTTGCATAGGTTTCAGGTTTCACAACTGTGAAGAATTTAAAACAGTATAAATCGGTCCTATCAGCTCTCCCATTAATTTTAGTCCGTGCATGCAGGGAGTTTTTGTTGAAAGTTAAAGGAACTGGGTGTGCAGGTACAGCTCACAGGGTTGTATAACAGATACGGAAGCTTTCTGTTCAGGGTGGACTAGACCTGTTCCCATTTTTAAGTGAATGCAGTTGTGCAACATGAAAACTGCAGTGACATGTTATCATTTGACTGTCTCAGTAGTTTGTGATGCATCTGTTGCATGCTATGTTTTCAAAGCTCATTGCTATATTGGCTTTGAAGTAAAACCTTGCTAAACTAGATTTTATTGCTAAACTCAAGATTTAAGTCATAGTACCCTGTGGGGGAAATTTAACAATTTGTCCTAGCTATAATTGCAGAGCTTCTTAAATTGTACCATCCTACACAATGAAGAGATAGTGAAGGAAGTGTTTTTAAAAAGTTCTTAGCTGGTATTTGGGGCGATAGGATCCCAAGTTTTGACAGGCACAAGAGACATTTTTTTATAGGGGGATTTTAATCTTGAAGGAGTAAGTCTGCATTTTAATAAGCTTGGAATTAGTTATGTGCTGTGCATGCATAAAAGCTGTTTGCAGACCCAGATATATGCCCTATGCTTTGGAAGTTAGCCACAGAACCCGTAGTACTGCTGGATAATAATTAACACTTTACTTTTAGATCCAAAAGGTAATTCTGGCACTTGGAGATTATATGGGAGCAACCTGTCATGCTTGCATTGGTGGAACCAATGTTAGAAATGAAATGCAAAAGCTCCAGGCTGAAGCACCACACATTGTTGTTGGTACTCCTGGGAGAGTGTTTGATATGTTAAACAGAAGATATCTTTGTAAGTATTGTTTATTAAGATATTTTACTGTTAAAAATCAGAACTAGGATATCTAAAGATGGCAAAATGATTGTTTTAACAGCTCCAAAATGGATCAAAATGTTTGTTTTGGATGAAGCAGATGAAATGTTGAGCCGAGGATTTAAGGATCAAATTTATGAGATTTTCCAAAAATTAAATACAAGTATTCAGGTAAGCTTCTTGATGGTTTTGGAGTGGGTTGGTTTGATTTGGGTTTTTTGGGGTGTGCTGGAGGTTAGGTTTAATGCAGGAACTGTTACAATACAACTGAAGTGTTTTATTGTCGTTCCCCCTGCTTAAAACAGTTGATGCATAACTATCTCTGTCTACTACAATTCCATAGTAAGACAGAGACGCTTGGTCTCAGACATTTTTTTTTCCAGTAGTGTTGTGCTTTTTTGGTGTGACATTATCATTGTTTCTTTTTAAGGTTGTGTTGCTTTCTGCCACAATGCCAACTGATGTGTTGGAAGTGACCAAAAAATTCATGAGAGATCCAATTCGAATTCTGGTGAAAAAGGAAGAATTGACCCTTGAAGGGATCAAACAATTTTATATTAATGTTGAAAGAGAGGTAATTTGTCTACTTTTCTAACACTTTAAAAATGTAGGCAGATTTTTTTTTTTTGTCTTCTTGTATAAGCACTGTGCTAAAATTGCAGAAACTAGGATATATCTTGGTTTTTGTGATAATGCTAGCAGAGTACACACAAGAAGAAAAGTAAAACAGCACTAGATTGTAAAGACTGGGGTGGACCTCTTTCTTAATGTCCAGTGTCCTTTGTCTTAAGATTTGGTGCAATAAGTTGACCTCTCAGTGAATTTGTAACATGTAAGTTGGAAATGATTTTAATGACTGCTCATTTCTTGAAATGCTGTAGGAATGGAAATTGGATACACTTTGTGACTTGTACGAGACACTGACAATTACACAGGCTGTTATTTTTCTCAACACAAGGCGCAAAGTGGACTGGCTCACTGAGAAAATGCATGCCAGGGACTTCACAGTTTCTGCTCTGGTAAGAGGATTTCGAACCTAATGACAATTTAGTAGTATTTTCATTAAAGCAGGATTTAGACTACAATATAGCTGTGAGTGCTGTGTTGTCGTTCCCCCTGCTCAAAATAAAGTTGTTTCTTAACTATACCTGTCTGCTTTACTCCTGTAGCAGCCAGGGACGCTTGGTCTCATACATGTTGATAAAATTTTAATGATTTGTCTGGTGATTAATTTTCTTAAGAAAATTTGTTCATTTGCAGCATGGTGACATGGACCAGAAGGAGAGAGATGTTATCATGAGGGAATTCAGATCAGGATCAAGCCGTGTTTTGATCACTACTGACTTGTTGGTAAGTCGGTTTTTGCTGCTTTCATTAATGTACCAAAAGTTATTTTGGGGAAAAGGTTTTTCTAATAACCTTTACCAGTTTGGGCTATTTGGGAGAGTAACGTAAAGACCACACTCCACAGTGGACTATATCTGTTAACTTGTAGTTCACTACTATTTTGTGGCCTACATTACATTGGTGTCCACTTTATTTAACTTAAAATTTAATAATGCACTCCCCCACCCCCTGTATTTCAGGCTCGTGGGATTGATGTGCAACAAGTGTCTCTGGTTATAAACTATGATCTACCTACCAATCGTGAAAATTATATTCACAGGTGAGTAAAGTACATCTTTACAATTGCTGTATTGGTAAAGTGAATTCATGATTGCTTTTCTACCGGCTGATTTGTCTAAACGGTAACCACAAAGCAGGGAATTCATTCAGTTAAAAAAAAAAAAAACAGTAACTTTGTAAGATAATTTAGATTGTATAGGGGAAAACTGGTCACACACAGTGGGAAAACAGTTAAAAATGCTGCCCAAGTGGTGGGCTTAATACAGAGTTGAAACTTTAGATTTGTTGGTTTTAGCTTTCTTAGTGATCTTTTGTGTCCTTGTGCTTTCTTGGTGATTTCTCTAGTTGGGATTTTCTTGGTGTCGTCTGGTAGCAATTTTGAGCAGTCCCTGGTTTAGCTATAGTGGCTTTATCCCTAAATAAATTGAATTGTACTTTGTTATATGATGTAAAAAAAGACTTTTTAAAAAATACAGGAGTCGATAGCAGCAGTTGATGACGAGATGGCGCTCAGAAACGGCGTTGACGTAATTTAGGACGTGGAATCATAAGCGAAACAGCACACTGTTTGAATAAAGAGCGAGTCGGTATTTATATTTGTTTTTCTTTTGTCATGATTATTTGATATTTTAAGTTGATCCAGCCAGGGCATTTTTTTACATAATAGCTTTAGCCTGTCAGGTGGTTTGTATTGTCTGGTATCAGGAAGGTAGAAAGCTGTCTCTTGGGGGTAAACACGTTGAATAATTTGAGTCATAACGTGTGAAACTGAGCAAAAAAGCAGTGATAAGTTTGGGTTACCATACCAAATAATTGTTTTCCCACTGGAAAGAAATTGTAAGTTTTAGACAATAGTTAACCTTTAAAGCATTTGTATTTACAGTTTACAGTTCCAGGAGTGCGTCGAAATGGATTACATAACTTTTGTTTCATCCCTGGTGTTTACATTTGTCCCAGGCTGACATCTGCTCTTGGCTGGCCCACTTTGGTATGGGCTTTTAATTTCACTACCCCAAACACAGTACTGTCATCTGCTTTAAAAAAAAATAATGCTCAAGACACCTGATAAATCTCGTTTTGCAGCCAGACAAGCCTTGACTCCTTTTGGCACTAACTGCAAAGGAAGATTTTTTTCTCTAGATACTGGTTAGCAGCTAGTGCTCCAATTAGAAGCACGAACTATAACCTTGATAAGTAAACAGCTGCTGATGGTTAACAAGTGGATCTTCATGTTCAGTAGTTCATGAGTTACATAAGAAGTAACATTCTCATTGTTGATTTTCTTTTTCTTATACAGAATTGGCAGAGGGGGTCGATTTGGGAGGAAAGGTGTGGCTATAAACTTTGTTACTGAAGAAGACAAGAGGATTCTTCGTGACATTGAGACTTTCTACAATACTACAGTGGAGGAAATGCCAATGAATGTGGCTGACCTTATTTAATTCCTGGGATGAGATAGTTTGAATGCAGTGCTCGCTGTTGCTGAATAGGCGATCACACCGTGCATTGTGCTTCTTTCTTTGGGAATATTTGAATCGTCTCAATGCTCATAACGGATCAGAAATACAGATTTTGATAGCAAAGCGACTCTAGTCGTGAGCTCTTGTGAGGAAAGTCATTGGCTTTATCCTCTTTAGAGTTAGACTGTTGGGGTTGGGTATAAAGATGGGGTCTGTAAAATCTTTTTTTCTTAGAAATTTATTTCCTAGTTCTGTAGAAATGGTTGTATTAGATGTTCTCTATCATTTAATAATATTCTTGTGGACTAAAAGATATAAGTGCTGTATAAAATCAGCCAATTATGTTAAACTAGCATATCTGCCTTTATTGTGTTTTGTCATTAGCCTGAATAGAAAGGCCTTTAAAATTGATTTTTTTTTAGAAAGCATTTGAATGCATTTTGTTTGGTATTGTATTTATTCAATAAAGTATTTAATTAGTGCTAAGTGTGAACTGGACCCTGTTGCTAAGCCCCAGCGATCATATCCTAGGTAGGGTTAAACCCCCAGTAAAATTGCCATATTGCACATGTCTTAATGAAGTTTGAATGTTAAATAAATTGTATATTCACTTTAAAGGTGGTTTGGTCACTTTTATTCTCAGCAGAAAGTAATTCACAAAGGAAAGCTGAATACGGTTAACAATTCTGGGTTAACTGCTGCATCACAGTAGCACACAGACTGGTCAATTGCAGGTGCTCATCAGCCCCGTCTGCTAAGCATTTATCTACTTCCTACAAGAAAATAGAAAGCCATCAGGAATTCCTTTCAATTTGATGTTTATATTTCTAGAATGTGCATATTAGATGTTTATATTTCTAGAATATGCATACTTACAGCAAGTTTTTCTGTTATGATGGACTTCTGTTTATCAGAAAGGTCATTTTCTACAACCACATCATGTAGTTGATTTACAAGCTGAGTTGCTGCATGACCTTCATCAATTAAGTCCTGTAACAAAATTATATTCAGTATGATTGCACAATTTGCCTTTCCCCAAAGTTAAGGCCGACTGTTACCTTTACCACAGCTTCTAGTTTGTCAAAAGATCCACTCTGACAGGCAGCAAATATTCCACTAATTGTCTCAGCTGGTATTACCTAAAAAGAAAGGTGTTGTGTGAAGAGTTTCAACAAGTCATCCACCCTCCCCTTGGTTCTGTGTTCTCTTATGGTGTACACTGAGCTGATAGCAGCCCAGGGGAGACTTTAAGCTTTAGTTGTACTCTTCCTCCCCAAAGTGGCACCAAAATAAGTTCCACATACATTAACTGGTAATCTTCTTTAGGTTTACATAATGTTTCCCCTAAATTCTCAACAGTTGCTTTGAGAAACCAGACTCCACAGTGGCTGTAACTGCTCAGAACAGTAAGGTTATTTGAAAAGCAATTTTAAGGGAAGTGCTCTTTCTCCAAATAGGGGACTAAGTTTCATTATGGTACAGAAAAGGCCTTACAGGGGGGCCCCTGGTGGCACAAGCGGTTAAGTGTCAGTACTGTGAAGCTGAGCCCCTCCCCGCCTGATCCACAAAGTGCATGTCTTGCTGCTACCCTCAGTGTTGTATTTCAGTCAATCCACCTGTTCTGCTGCTGAATCTTCTCAAACCCACCCTGCACCTCTGGCCTATACCCCAGCTCTTTGCATGCATAAATAAGTAAATCTTAAAAAAAAAAAAACAACAAAAAAAAACACCCTGAAATGAATATTCAAAAGCAGGTACCACACTCTCAAGTTCTATAAACTGGTATGTTCCTGTTTTTTATGTGACCCAACCTTTATCAGATTTTATACAAGAACAGAAATACTGAAAAAATTTTAACTGCCGCATCCCTGAAGCATTTCCTTATACTTCAGTATATTAGTTAGCACATCTAGACAAAATGTCTTTCCCCAAAATTATTGTTGAAATCCCGTGTATTAGGAGGTGGTGCCTTTGGGAGGTGATTAACTCATGAGGTCTATAGAGCCCTCGTGAAAGGGACACATTGGTTTCCTTATTAACAGGCCCCAGAGAGCTCTCTCCTGCCACAGGAGCATGCAGCAAGGAAATGAAGGCCATAGACCAAATAGGAGTTTATGAAATAGGAAACATGCACTCATCAAACACTGAATCTGCAGGTACCTTAATCTGTAAGATGTTGATGCTGTTTAAGCTACCTGAGGTACATTTTTATAGATTAAAACAATAGTATTTGTTGGGGTGGAGATTTTCTAAAAGTCACTCCAGAAAATTCAACTGAACATTTTAGAGTATCTAGTGATCTTACCCCAGCAATGTCTGTGATCACTTTCTTTGTGACCTCTTTTCCACCTGTTAATCGAGTAGCACTTTGAAGAAATGTGATGGCCTTTCTTAAGTCTCCTTCTGACACTTTAACAAGGTAAGTTATTCCCTAAAGAGAAAAAAAAAAAAAAATTGTGTTTTTCTTAGCTATAGTGGCCAATTATGGCTTTTTGACTTGAATTTTAAAAAAGTTTTAACCTATACATGGAAAAAAGATGATTTCCCCTTTTTGAAGAATTATCAACCCAACAGTGGCAGAATTCATGGAGAGAGCATTGATCTGATAGGATAAAGAAGAAATCTCTTGCCTCTGAAATAAGTTTGCAGAAACAAAGAGAGATATATACTTACCCTATTTCATTGATTATATAAAACAAAAAATTCAGAATATGGTCAGATTCTGTTATAATGAAAAGGCATATTTAGTCTTTCAACTGTACCAGAATCTCATCCTATCAATTCTTTAAATGGAAGTATTAGCTAAGAGACTAAAATCTTCTCATTATGCAGAGATTTGTCACTGCAGGATTTGCATTATATATATGAACTCTGCCCCAGTTTTGGTCTCTCAAATATTAACAGGTAATAAACTAGCTTAAATAACTTAGAAACAGAAAGCTGAACCTGTAATTCCTAGACATTGTAACTTGCTCATTAGCTTAAAATGGCATCAGAAATGGGCACAATATATGTGACTCACGGTCTTGTCATATGCATTCATCAAAGGAATTAGTAAAATTAGTAATTACCTCATTGCTAATTTTGACTTCTTCTTTATTGGCGATGTCTAGTAATCGCTGCTGTTGAATTTTATCTGACAGAGGTTTGAAGCGGAATTTAGAACATCTAGATGTCAGGGGTTCAATTATTCTGTAAAATATTGGAAAAAAGTCAGTGTCTAAAGAAGTGACTCCACCCAAAGAACTCATTTTCATCAGTAATCCACATCATGAATTGATACAGAAATTAATGTAACCTTGAAAATGTTTTACTTTATTCTCTCCCTAGTTGAGGTTATCAAAATAAGGTTGCCAGAAGGCTATTTTCAGGGCAATATACATACCGACTGACATAGTTACAGATGAGACAGAATCGGGTGGTTTTAGACTCTTTCTCCATGGTACGTCTTAAAGCTGCCTGAGCGGCTGAAGTCATAGAATCTGCTTCATCCAGAATCACAATCTTAAAAGGAGGACATGGTTTCCCACTGATTTAGAGAAGAGAAATACATAGGAGTGTAGTGCAGTGTAGTGTCCCCTACTATCGCATTCTGGGACATTCTCACTATCCCCGAAAGAAACCCTGTGCCCATTAAGAATCAATCCTCTTCTCTTCCAACTCACCCAGTCATAGGCAACCATGGATCTACTTTCTTTCTTCACAGATTCACCTATTCTGTACATTTCTTATGGACAAAACAATATAATACCATCTTTTATGATTGGCTTCTTTCACCTAAAATTGTGTTTCCAAGGTTCATTCATTCCTTTATATTGTCAAATATTATGGCACATGAATATATGACATTTTATTTTTTTTTTTTAAAGATTCATTTATTTACAAAAGCACTAGGTACAGTCAGAAGCATGGGAGGGTGAGAGAGTTCACCAGAGCCAGAGCGGGGAGCAGAACAGGCAGATTGACAAAGTACGCTGCTGAGGGGAGCAGTGGGTGGCAGGAGAGGTCTGCGCGCCATGTGGGACCCTCACCAGGCGGTCGGGGATCAAACCGGCGCTGCAGTGGCTGTGGGCAGCTTCGCAACCCTGCGCTCAACTGCTGCGCCACTGGAGAGGCCCTATGACATTTTATTTGTCCATCCACTAGTTGATGGATATTTATTTAGGTTGTTTCCATGTTTGAGTATTTACCTATGACTGGAGTTGCTGGATCTTGTAACTCTGTTTAACTTATACAGGAAATGCAAAATTTTCAAAATGGCTGCACTGTTCTGCACTCCAACCAATAATGGACAAGGGTTCCAATTTTATTACTTCTTAAGTACTTCTTTCTTCGCTTTTTGGTTATAGTCATTGTATTGGGTGTAAAGTTGTTTTTTGTTTCTCTAAGTAGCTGATAATATTGATGAGCATGTTTTCATATGCTTGTTGGGAACATGTATAAATCTTTGGAGAAATGTCTATGCAGATCCTTAGCCCATGTTTTAATTGGATTGTCAGAGTTCTTTATATACTCTTGATCTAATAATTACTTACCAGACACATTATTTATGTCTGATCCAATCCAAGATGGATATCAAAAATTTTAACTTAGACCTTTACTACACTTGGAGCATAAGTAGTACACATAAACACCCCTGTTTATTTTAATTATTAATTAATACCTCCTTTTTCACTCTAATAACTTTCCAGTTTAGACAAGAACTTACAAGGTTACCCTAATTATGAATATACAGCAAAACTTTAAATACCTGACTACCAAACTATCAAGTTTGATTAATAATTATTCCTGGAGCCTCCCTAGTGGTGCAGGGGTTAGTCTCAGTACCATCAAACTATCGCCAGACACTGCAGCACGAGTTTGATCCCGAGTCAGGGAGCTAACCCACATGGTGCAGCAGACCTCTCCTGTCTTAATGCTACTCCCATCAGCAGTGTATTTCAATAAACCCACCTGTTCTGCTCTCTATTCTGCCTCTGGTGAATCTTCTCACCGTCCCCCACCCCCATACCTCTGGCCTAGACCCCAGTTCTTATATGCATAAATAAATAAAATCTTTACCAAAAAATAATTATTCCTTAGACAAAATATCAGTTAAAAACCCTTGATAACTAAGCAACTTAAAACTAGTATAAAATGGATAGGTCTGGGCCTAAGTAATTTAATAAAAATGATGAAGCATGAAAAAGGAATTGGAAATTTGGTAGAAATTTCATTTTACACAAATTTCATGTAAAACATTCCTTTTACACAAATATATAGTTTTTACACAAATATAACATCATTTTACACAAATAAAGTTATTTTATAAATAAAATACACTATTGAGGAGAGAAGAGATGAGTTTACTTACTCTGAACGACTTCCTGACACAGTTAATTGCGCAAAATTTTTCACTTTTTCTCTAACTACTTGTATTCCACGTTCATCAGATGCATTTAACTCAAGAACTCTTAATCGAAAAAGTTCAGGCCTATAGCAAAATGAAACAAATATGGAACACCATAAATAAGTAAGCCAAGATTTAAACCACTTTTTAACACCTGCACATTTTACAACAGTTTAAATCTAAACAGTAAACAATATGGATGGAAAGTATATCATCATTTCTTTTTCTTTTGCAGAGACATGCAGTTAACATTTTGGAGTTCTTCCATGCTTAAAAAAAATAAAAAAAAGGAGGCCTCCCCGGTGGCATAGCGGGTTGAGCGAAGTGCTGTGAAGCTGTCCGCAGCCTCTGCAGCGTGGGTTTGATTCCCGGCCAGCCAGGGAGATTCCCACATGGCGCAGCAGACCTCTCCTGTCTTGCCCACTGCTCCCCTCAGCAGCATATTTTGGTCCTTCTGCCTGCTGTGCTCAAGGCTCTGTCCCTAGTGAATCTTCTCACCTTCCTGCACCTCTGGCCTGTACCTTAGTGCTTGTATAAATAAATAAATCTTAAAAAAAAATATTTTAAAAAATAGCTAGATGTGATCACGTAATATATAAAAATTTAAATCAAATTTCTACTTAGCATTTGTATCATAATTATCTTGCCATGTCATTAGAACCATGCAAATACCATTTTAACAGTCATATGATATTCATCCTATGATTATACCATCATTTACTCAATTTACTTAACATATTTATACATTTAGATAGTTTTAAATTATAATTTTAAGTAATGCTGCAGTATATTTTGAATTATTTCCATAGGATGGCTATATAGAAAATTACTGGATTAAAACTGCAACAATTTGGGGGCTTCCCCGGTGGCGCAGTGGTTGAGCGCTGGGTTGCGAAGCTGACCGCGGCCTCTGCGGCGCCGGTTCGATCCCCGGCTGCTCCCCGGCCACCAGAGGAGGGTCCCGCATGGCGCGCAGACCTCTCCTGCCGCCCGCTGCTCCCCTCAGCAGTGTACTTCGGTCCTTCTGCCTGCTCTGCTCCCTGCTCTGGCTCTTGGCTCTGGTGAGTTCTCTCACCCTCCTGCGCTTCTGACTGTACCCAGTGCATGTACAAACAAACAAATAAAAATAAAAAAAAAAAAAAAAAAAAAAAACTGCAACAATTTGGGAAAAAAAATATTAAAAGTAGCTCACTATAGGGAAATCTGTGGCATCAAAAAAAAAAAAAAGTAAAAGACTGGCATATTCCACCAAACCACCATTTTGAAACTTTTTTCCACATACATATGTATTTCTTTTTAATAAGAAAACAAGAGTTGGGATTTATTTTCCCTAAAAAGCATGACAGATATCGTAAGCATTTTTTATGGGCATAAACATTTAGAAACGCAATGTATTTATTTTCTATTTTAAAGCCACATATATTATTAGGCATGGGACTGATAATTAAAATAAGTTCTTTTAGTCCTGTCAAGACAAACATTATTTTAAAATATTTAAAAAGTTATGTAATCTAAATGGACCTGCTCTGGAATAACTAACTAGTTTCATTATGATTATACTGCTAACTATTTCAGTTTAGAAACTGAGTTATGGAATAATCAACCTCTTATAGTGCCCTTAAAAAATAAAAGTTGCTGTAAAAAAGTAAAATATTAGACCCACTGAGTTTTCCATTTTATCTTCCTTCACATTTTGCTAGAACAAACTACCTTAACATTGGTGGTTTCAAGGCCTAATTATTTTCTGCTGTGCTATTTCAGATGTACCTTTTGGCTACACCTAATATAAAAATTCTGAATAAATTCAAGATAGCCTTTGTTATGTTGGTAGGTCATCCATGGATATCAGACCTGGACTGATAAGTCTTTGTAACTCGTGGTAAGATCACCTATACAATGTTTGGCTAAACCCAGATAGCCAATCTAGAAAGAGGGAGCTAATAAGAAGGTAGCTCATAGAGATATTCTGATATACCTGCAATCATACTACATCAGCTAGCACACATTCTGTCTACACTCAGGAGACTTGTGGGCTAGGAGCTACCTAGCTTTTCCAGAGGCAGATCCTGGGAAGTTAGCACAAGAGGAAAGTCAAGGAGTGGTGTGGTTCAGTAGTATCAAACACAGCAGGTTTTACTGAAAAATTAAATGGCTGCAAATACAATTATGAAGAAAGTAGTGAAATCACTGGCATGCTTGGAGTTAGGTTGGGTCCTTGGGGTTCTAAAATCATAATGAAGGAGTTAAAAGTGATGGGAAAAAACACGTGAGGTTTTTTGTGTTGCAGTACATGCAAACATTTGGAAATGGGCCCACTGGATTAATAAAAAAATTCAGAAACAAAAATAAAACCCAATAGCCTCACAGGGAAACCAAATGCAAATTTTTAGAGAAAGAAAAACAGTACCAGAGAATTTTTGGTGTCTTCCCCCCCTCCCCCCAAAGAGATTTCAACTCACCCAAAGAGTTCCCTGGCTGCTGCCAAAATAGTGGATGTTTTACCAGTTCCAGGTGGCCCATAAAATAAGAGATTGGGTAGCTGCAAAAGTTAAATTTTATTATTTAAAAATTGTATTCTGGCACAAATACATGAAAATGATGATTAAAAATATCTATGGAACACTGTAATGATTTCCTAATAGAGAAGGTACACCTAAGCCAAATATAAAGATTTCTTGGGCCTCCCTGGTGGCGCAAGGGGTTAAGACGCAACCTATAACGCTGTCCACAGCCACTGCAGCACGAGTTCGATTCCCCCCACCGTCCAGAGAGCAACCCACATGGCGCAGCGGACCTCTCCTGTCTGGCCCGCTGCTCCCCTCAGCAGTGTATTTCAGTCAATCTGTTCTGTTCCCCACTCTGTCTTTGCTGAATCCTCTTACCGCCCCCATATCTCTGGCCTGTACCCCAGTTCTTGTATGCATAAATAAATCTTTAAAAAAAGCAAATAACAAAGATTTCTTAACAAAATTGCTATCATGTATTAACAGTTCTAAACCTACTTTTTCACATAGTACTTTTTTCTCAAGAAAATGAAAATGATGTCTCCCTAATATCTTAAACTGAATCAGTATTTATGACTATAAATAAGCTACCTAGGTGGAATTTTAAAAGTTGGAATTAGAACCTTTATTTCTGAAGGGAATCCCAGGTTTCTGTCAGTTCCTCCCCCCAACCTCATGCTCAGGATCTGATAGATTTTATATTTTATAAAGATATTAGTTGCTTTAAAGGGGAAATAGAAAAAAAGAGCAACTGAACTTGGCCAATATTGAGGGAAAAGGACAAAGCTGGATGAGCTGAAATTCCAAGAATAAAAACATTTAAAAAAAAACTAAGAAACTAGTAAGTGCCAGGCAATGCTCCAGAACACCATATGTGTCCTGCAGGGATGCCTACACAAGTCAGGTACAGTGCATTAGAGGAAGAAATTACAGGATTAAATAGCTAGTTATCTACTTTAAGTCTAGCTACTTAAGCTCCTATCAATCAGGCAACTGATCCGTGGTACACATTAATAAATGTACTAAAGTCTAGTGAGTTGTTACAAAACTATACATTCTTCTTCTGCATGTCTCTCCACAAACAAAAATCATTCTATGTAGGAAACTAGGCAATACAGCCTATTTGCTTTCTTTCTTTTCTAATCCTCACTGCCCACCTCCAATTCATTCATTCTTCACCCAAACCTGATGTAGCTCTGTTCACAACTTAAAAGTATTCACCGGCTTCACACTCAGAAAACAAAAACAGACAAACAAACAAACAAAAAAACCCCAATCTGCTTGCTGTTATCACCTGCAAAACCACCCATGAACTGCTTACCACCTCTCAATTTCCAGGCCTGAACTTATGATGGCCTCCAACAACTCTGTTACTCTCTCATCAGTCTTTGGTTGACTTGATGTAATTTATATATTATTTACTTAATGGTTGGGTTTAATCTGAAAATACCTGTCTACCTCACTGGAGGGAAGCTTAAGAAGATCAAGAACAGGGTCTCTACAGTGGTACAGGGGTTAAAGACACAATGCAATCAAGCTATCGCCAGACACGGTGGCATGAGTTTGATCCCTGGCCAGGAAGATGACCCACAATGTGCAGCAGACCTCTCCAGTCTCTCCTGCTGCTGCCCTCAGCAGTGTATTTCAGTACATCTGCCTGTTCTGCTCCCCACTCTGACTCATGGGTCCTCTCATCCCCTGTACCTCTGGCGTACACCCCAGTTCTTGTAGAACTAAATCAAATCCAAAAAAAAAGTCAAGATCAGTATTTTGTTATATTTACATCTATATTCTTAGCATCTCATGTAGTACTCAATATGTGCCAAATAAGCCAACATATACGTAAGTATATTAATTACAAGACTATTAATGTTATATTGGAAATAAACAGCTTAAGATACAAACTATAAAATTCACTAGTTAAAAACAAAGACCAAATTGCTAGGCATCTCAGGTTTTAATGGTTATGATGCTTATTTTGATGTGCTCACCTCCACATCTGTAATGATTTAGATAACTATCACAATACTGTCTGATATGTATGGTACATTCAAGAACTTTATGTGAAATACCAATTCTTAAAATTGACTTCTGTAAAAGAATCTTATTATAATTCTACTTTAAAACCTTTTAAAGTAAATAAAGGAATGAGTTATTTTCCTTTACTCTTAAGAATTTAAAAGTTACTTCATTTTAAAGTTTTAAAACTTAGTCGGAAAATATAAAATATTAAACAAGAGGTTAAAGAGAATTCTTAATTTAGCCTCCTTGTAAGTTAGGTATAAAGTGAAAAAGTGGATTATACTAAAAAAAAGTATTAGAGAAAAAACATCTTGTCCTGCAATCTATACTATGATGCAAAACTGTGTAACACTATAAAATTAAAAGATAAAGACAGCTGGATTAAATCAAAACAAACAATGGTAAAGAAAAAGATTTTAAGTAGTAGACATACAATTTATTTCAAAATAGGTACTACTATAGTGTAATTCAGAAAGAAAAAGATGGCAGCAAAAAACAAAATAGGAATAAAGCAAAAAATCATATCCTAGTTTCATCAGCAACTTTTCCCCTTCCTTCACTGAGCATTTTTTTAAAGATTGATTTATTTATGCATACAAGAACTGGGGTGTAAGCCAGAGGTTCGGGGGGGTGAGAGGATTCACCAGAAACAGAGTGGGGAGCAGAACAGGCAGATCTACAGAAATACACTGCTGAGGGGAGCAGCAGGTGAGACAAGAGAGGTCTGCTGCACCATGTGAGTTAGCTCCCTAGCTCAGGATTGAATTCATGCTGCAGTGTCTGGCGATAGCTTGATTGCACTGTGTCTTTAACCCCTGTGCCACCAGGGAGGCCCTCCTTCACTGAGCTTTTAAATGACTTATCGTATAGAACTTAAAATTGCTAATTCTTCATATGGATTTACTGTAGCTGAATTATCTAAAATGCAAGTCACTGAAGGATACTTTATCCCACATTATCACAGCAGAAGACACAATTGTACTGTAGTTTAAACCAGATCATAAAATTAGGGGAGCAATTATACTTTCAAAGAATATCTAACTCTTTATAGCACATAATATTAACTATAACTCTCACATTTATTTGGGTTTACATGTTTATTCTCTGTCTCTCCCCACTAAAATAAAAGCTGATGAAATAGGGTACGCAGTCTTTCTTACTCAATGGCTTACACCTGAGCACTACACAACAATATCAAATAGGAGCTACTCAAAAAATATTGTTGAACTAATCATCTATGGTACAAATAGTTATCAAGGGTCTACAATATTTATAGCACAGTATTTAAAGGGCACAGGAAGTTATAAAGAAAGAAAAAGTGAATAATTATTAAGCTTATTATAAACATTATCTGCTACTCACATCAGCTCCTTCTAAAGACTTTTTCAAAACTGCAACTACTTCTTCCTGGAAAGCAACTTCATCCACACATTTTGGGCGGCTGGAAAAAAAAAAAGAGAGATTATATTGTACTATAGTATATGTTATTTATAGCAGCCACAGATTTCCTTTTGCTAAAAGGTAATTCTCATATATCAGTAATGAAATGAGAAATTTTGATAATTGGAAGCAGGATAAACTCCACTTGTTTTTACTACAAGCAAACAAATACTAAAGGTGTGAAATAATGTTTCACTCTTCCATATGTATTGTTTGCATCTGTTAGACTTACAAAATTAAGCAAATGCCAAATGATTAAAAATTTACAGGAACATTTGCTTAGAAAGTTATTATATTTTAGAAGATCATACACCTAAGCTGAAAAGGGAGAACTATTAGCTCAATATAGGTAAATATATTGGTTAATAGTTTCATATTAGTACATTAATAGGTGAATACCAATTTCTTACATCATCTGACTGCACAAAAAAAATGCACACCTATTCACTTCATTGAGGAGTAACAAAATAACAAGTTTAACCAATATGAAGTATTAATAATTTATAATTTTCATCTTATATCATAACTAGTGATATTAAAAAGAAGCTAGAACAAAATTATATTCCCAACCCTAAGATTAGGCATTGTATCCCAAGCCTAAAATCAAGTAGTCCAGTTTTCCTTTGATTCATATTTTTCTAAACAGGAACTTCATATCAGATGTTTTCTAGAAAAACCAGTGTATGTTATAAACTATGGCTTCAGATTCAAATACCTGCAGGGACTCGGAAGACAAGAATAAAGAAGGCAGAGTGTAAGGCAAGAGAAAATATTAGGAACTATGATGGGCTGAGGAACATATGACCTTCCTAAAATGAGAAGAACTCCAGTTCGCCTAACTACTGTTAGGTAAAAACTTGTACCTAGTGTTGCTTAAACTCTTGATAAGCTGAAAATTTTTATTTCCTTCTCCTTATATAATTTAATTTAAAAATCTAGATTTTTATGCGAAATTTCTTATTTTTAAAAGCATTGTTGGTACCACCAAAACATATGCACCTTACTTGGCATATAAGTAGTCTGCAAAGCCTTGGTAATAATCATGCGGTGACACCGGAGATTAGAAGTATTTGTCATAATAGCACTAAGCCGATGAAGTTTAAGTGCCACTCTTAAGGGCTGTTTCTTGCCAAAAATGTATAAAAAATTTAACAATTTCCACTTATCAGTAATGAAAAGGGAACAGACTGCTTAGACTCAAGTAGAATTCTAACCAAGAGCTTATACCCAGCTTACAGAAACTGTCTTGTCTTTATTGCTATATCCCAGCCCTGAAAACAGTAGACCTTAGTTACAGAGAAGATCTAGTTCATCTATGAGGTTAAATTAAATTAGATCATTCTAAGCTACATGGTTCTATATAAGCTACATGATTTTTAAGGATAACACCAAAACAAAGCAAATCATCCCCCTTTTAAAAAAAAAGTGATCAAAAATGGTTATTTAACAGGGTGGTCCCCAGGGAACAGGTTGGTTCCTAGTTCTCTGCCACACCCAAGGGAGGTTAGAGCTAAGCAGAAAAGAAAAGAAGCTGGACAGGAGACTGGGGAAGGGAGGAAGAAGGGTAGGTAGTCAGGAGACCCAAAGGAAGCACAAGGAGCAGAGAGACACGTGAAGAAGCTGCACTTGCTTTTTGGTTCTGGACTGGCTAAAACAGATGTGGGTGAGAGACCCGTGGGGAAGTTAACAATGGCAGCATTGGTCTTGATTTTGATTTTGCTCTTTTCCTCCCAGACTGCTCTGGCTGTTTCTGCCCAGACTTGTGGCAGCCAAACCCTGTTTGGCTGAACATTTATTTATTTTTTTAATTTATTTATTTATTTATACAAGAACTGGGGTACAGACCAGAGGCAAAGGAGGGTGAGAGAATTCACCAGAGACAGAGCAGGGAGCAGAACAGGCAGACAGACTGAAGACAATGGTGAGGGGAGCAGCAGGTGAGGCAGGGGAGGTCTGCCACGCCCTGCGGGTTGCTCCCTGGCTGGCTGGGAATTGAACGCACGCTGACAAGGCTGTGGACAGCTTCACAACATGGCGCTCAACCTGCTGCACTACCCGGGAGGCCCCTGGCTGAACATTTATTTACCCACAAGGAGATGGGTAACTTTGGATGCTTGATTTGGAAACTATATTCTTTGTCTTTTCTGTATATTGCACACTAATAGTGTTAAAGTTTCTTTCCATTAAAAGTCTTAAATGTTTTGTCTTGATGTGACAGATGGCAGAACCTACTTAGAGCAGGCAGGTTTAAGGGCTTTGGGGTGTCCCTTGTCCTGTCCTGTAACAGAGTAAATTGATAAATTATTTCAAAAAGTAAGCATTCTTACTATTTTTCCACCCATGGCACAGGTTTGGCTTTCTTGTTCTCTCCACTATGTCCTGCAGAGGCAGCAACTCCCCGATCCTTGGCCAATGGTGGTTTAGTACTGATAGATGCACCTTTTAGAAATGCCTGCATGGTTACTTCACCCTTAACAGGTGCAAGAGAGAAAAAAAAAAAAAGGGCACTTTTGAAACCATTATGAGGAAGCACAGTCTGAAAGTACACTTAATTTCATGCAAAGATATTCAATAATTACTAAGTAAAATATATCACCCCCTGACCTAGCACCCTCTGACTGCACAGCACTGAGGCATAGAGGGATATATGAGGCGAAAATGCTTAAGAAATTAAAATCTATTTATAATGAGGGAGTTTCAGAAAGAAAGCTAAATCTTATGTCAGAAAATTTTTGAAAGTTCTAACTTTTTGATAAATGTCATTAAAGGCGAAACTGTCCATGGGTCTCTTGTCTCTTCCACTTCAGTCATGGGTCTAGCTTTAAACTCAGCTCCAGAAACGGACTTAGTAAAAAGGACTGTTGAGACCACAAATGAAAACCTCCACTTTTCTTGAGCTTAGCGCTTCCCTCGGCAGCTTGTTTCACAGACCCTTGACTGCCATCAGAGGCTTTTTTGGATGGGAGAGGGAGAACATTTCCCACTGTTAAAAATGGACACAGCTATTTTTCTGATAACCTGCTTTAACAGAAGAAATCAAAACAATGATCAAATCTAATCAAATCAAAGCACTAGTTAAAAAAAAAAAAAAAACCTCAAAAAAATCTCTATCATACATAACCACTATTATTATTCAGGTAAACATTTCCCAGGAAGCAAAATGGTGTTTTGGGCGGGTAGAAAAGTCTGTTAGCGTGCCCGAAAATTTCCAGCATCATGACAATTCTAGCTTTTCTTTTACTGCTGTATCCCTCAATGCCGAGAGCAGTGACTGGTACAGAATAATGCGCCATAATATTCGGTGACTGAATTACCATTTATGAGACTCAGCTTACCCTTCTGTTAAATAGGCTAAGCTCTATTATATAGGCAGCTGAGTTAAATAAAATAATTGTGCAACCGTGTAATTCTGTGCTTGGAATGTAATACCTATCTATCTAATACCTGTATTGCCAATATCAATAAACAGTTACTATTTAACCCTATGGGATTACTCCACCCATGCTAACCCAAAGCAGGGCTTTGAAAGATGCTGCATTGAACGAGCCACCATTACAAAAAGGGGTAGTGAGGGGGCAAACGCAGGCTAGACAGGCGTGCCAATCCGGCCCCCGTGCGCACTAAGACGACTGGGGAAGACATCACCCGGGCTTCAAGCGCGGGAGAGGGGCGGACGGCAACCAGCGCAGTTTCTCCAGCAGGTCACCTGTTAGGTCCCGCCGCCGCCGCGAGTTCGGGCACTGCCTGGGCCTTTCAGCCGCTCGTCTCCCAGGCGCGGTAGGAGCCGGCTCGTTCCTGGGGTTTCCGGGAGAGGGAAAGGGTGAGAGGATGACAATTTCTTCGCTACGTTTCCCCTTCGGCGACTATCAGGTCCAGGAAGCCCCAAGTCACCCGACCCAACCAAACCTAAGAGTCGGCGCCTTCAGTCTACACACCAGCCCGGTTCCCGCCACGAAGCGGCGTCCCGGGGCAGGGCGGGAATCCGCGCTACTGAAGACGTCACTTCCTCCCGCGACACTGACGACGTCGCTTGCGTCCGCGCCACTTCCGGCCCGCCGCGAACGCAGCTCCTCCCGGGAGCCGCCTTCTGCGCTTTTTTTTTTAAACACGTGAGGAGACGTGCAGGGTTTTAGGGGTGCATAAACTGGAGCGAGGTAGACTAAGGAGGTGTAAGTAAATTCCTCCCTGTTCCCGGGCATTCCTGTGACTCGGGCCTGCACAGCACGCGCACTCCTTCCCAACCGTCCCTGCGATGGCCTCGGGCCGAGCTCCTGGATGTCGGTGCTCGGCGGAGGTGCACTGTGGGGAAGGATCTGCGGCCCTCTGGGTCTCGGGGCGCACCGAAGGTTTGGAGAGGCGCACTCTATTTCGATACGCGTCTTCGTAACCTGAACCCCACTGTGAGCTGCCTTGGCACTCCTGGGCATCTCATTGGCGTTTCTGCAGCGATGCAGTTGCTTGTAACCCTGCCGAGGACGGGTTGGGAAGGGAGCAAGCGATCCTTCGCAGAAGAGGGCACCCTGAGGATCCCAGCCCTGTCCCACCGTTTGAGCTTTAAGGGCAGAGGTGTCTTAAGAAGATAATTTTCCTTATCCTTTTGAAGATTGTGCCTTTTACTCCTTTTAGTGCTTGCCCATTCTTGAAGGAGGATCTCGCCATGCTGCTAAAGTCATTTTCTAATCCAGAGTCTTGCCTGGAAAGCTAGTGAGCAGACACTAATGATAAGTTAAAAGTTTTCTAATAATGTTGAACACCACCAGCACACATGCTCCATGGGATCCAGATCAGGTGTCTAGAGCTACCCCTTTTCTCTTTTCCTAGTGTTAGTATTAACTCTGAATTTTTCCCAAATTCTATTGAAATCTGACCTTCTAAAATGTTGCCTTCTTTGCATGCCTTTATTATTTACCTTAAGCCATAAGGTTGATGCAAATCTTCCCCAATATGATGTTTAATTATTAATGCATGCTTATTCATTTCTCTTTGAACAAATGTTTATGGAGTGCACACAATGCTAGGAGCTGAAGATAAAGCAGGGAATAAACTGGGTCTTCACAGCTTAGGGGAATAATGGACATTGTGATGTGTGTAATTCAGAGAAGGTAAGGGGTGGGCCACCGCAGCCTCTGCAGCACCGGTTCGATCCCCAGCCGCCTGGCGAGGGTTCCACATGGCGCGCAGACCTCTCCTGCCGCCCGCTGCTCCCCTCAGCAGTGTACTGCTGCACCTCCCCCTGCAGTGACCTTTAGGGCTAACCGGCCCTAGGTCCGGCTGGGCAACCAGCGCGCAGGGGAAGAACAGCAAAACCCTACCTGCTGCACCTCCCCCCGCAGTGATCTTTAGGAATGGCTTTCGCCACGGTCCCTAGATCCGGCTGGGCAACCAGCGCGGGGGGGGGGGGGGGGGGGGGGGGGGGGGGGGGGGGGGAACAGCCTGAAGCAGAGGAAGTGCAGCGGAAGTTCCCTCAAAAGAAGTGCAGCGGAAGTTCCCTCAAAAGACAGAAGCTTATCAAAAGATAACGACCACCAAGAACCACTACGAGAATGCTAAAAATCTTTTCCCCGTCTTTCTAGAACTACAAACTTTAATCCCTTATCTGTCTTTCTAAACTTCCTCCTTTCTTCTATAATGGTCATTGTTTGTTATGTAGATCACCTCCCTGATGGTGATAGACTGAGCCCATGAGCAAGCTAATTTCTTTGATATTCATTCCTGTGCTGTTGGAAAACATATATGTATTGGTCACAAACTCAAAGAAAATTACACTCAGATTTTCACTCTTGAAGTGTGTCTGTTTGTCATTTCTTTCGCCGACGCCCTGACCACCCTGCACGCTTCTCTCAACCCTGAGGTGGCCTCATCGTCTACTGCTGTGCTGGTCCGCGGCAGTGTACTTTGGTCCTTCTGCCCGCTCTGCTCCCCGCTCTGGCTCTGGTGAATTCTCTCACCCTCCCGTGCTTCTGACTGTACCCAGTGCTTGTATAAATAAATAAATAAAAATCTTAAAAAAAAAAACATAAACAGAGGAGGTAAGGGGCTCTGAGTAAGTACATCCCAGGCTTAACCAAGGGGTTGACCAGCTTAACAAAGGGTGTTTTACATTACTTTGTAACTCCCCCAGCATCTGTACAATCTCTGGAGAGTGTAAACACACAGATTACCCATCTGGTCACTGGTTCACATTGTCATAAACCATCAAAATGTATACTTAAGGGCCTCCCCGGTGGCGCAGCGGTTGAGCGCTGGGTTGCGAAGCTGCCCGTGGCCTCTGCGGCGCCGGTTCGATCCCTGGCTGCTCCCCGGCCACCAGAGGCGGGTCCCACATGGCGCGCAGACCTCTCCTGCCGCCCGCTGCTCCCCTCAGCAGTGTATTTCAGTCCTTCTGCCTGCTCTGCCCTCTGCTCTGGCTCTGGTGAATTCTCTCACCCTCCCGCGCTTCTGACTGTACCCAGTGCATGTATAAACAAAACAAACAAATAAATAAATTAAAAAAATATGCCTCTATATTAAAAATATATATATTAAAAAAGCATACTTAATATGCGTACATTTCATAATTTGTAAATTATACCTCAAAAAAAAAAAATCTACAAAGGTAGCTGGTTTTCAGTTGCTTCCTGAAGTAACACCACAACCAGAGGGAAATATAATTCCATTTCACAGATAAGAAAATTGAGAATTAACGGAAAAGATTCACAAATTAGCAACGAACTCGGAATCCACATCTACTACTTCTGACCTTGGAGCCAAGGCTTGTATTAGTCACTGCAAAGGTTCAGGGCTGGCAGAGAGATGCCTTTATCCTAATAATGGAAAGAAGGACCTGAACATTAGGCTGTGTGGACAGTTGGTTCACACAAATATGCCTCTTTCTCTGGTATAGTCAGCCCCTTGTTGGAGTGGGAAGACTTGGATAGAGGTTGGTCTGGTTGTGCTTTTCTCTTCAGCTAGCCATTCTGCTGCTGACAGCTATGGGTAGTTTCCTGACCCAGGTATTTCATGAATTTATGTGGGTATCAAGTATTGTCTCTGTCACCAGAATAGGAAATGTCTTTATATATTTTATTTTTGTATTATATCTTGCTGTTCTTGTGATAAAATGAGTTAATAAATTTGTGTTAGCTTTTTTTGTTTAATGAATATCCACTGAATTAGTCTTGTGCCAGGTTTTGGGACAAGGTGGGATATATTCGCCCATACTCACCAAATTAGGAAAAATTATCACACAGCTAAGAAGAAAGCACAATGCTGGGCATGCCTTTTTGGATTCTAGAGGCAGCATATTCTATATTTAGAAATACTGCTCTCACTTATTTACTTAGTGACAAGGAAAACTGCCAGCTTTGAGGGCAGGCAAGGGTTCTGTAGCAGATGTAGGCTGAGGTGCAGGCAGCTCTGCTGCTTGGAAAATTATAACCAGTGGGCTGTATAAAGTTGATGTGGTACTGTTTCTGGTGAGAAGTTGCTATGTGGAGAACAGCAGAATCAGAACATAAACCCCCAGGATTTTGCAGCCTTTGCCATCTGCCATATAGGATCATTTGTGCTATGGGGCCTAGGAGAGAGGAAGCACCTAATCACGGGACATGATTTATCCATCGTGAGCTGAGTTCTGTCAAATTTATCAAACCTAAAGTTTGGGAGGAACCAGCAGCATCTCAGCATAAAATGGAAGTGGTAAGTCTGGGAACAGTTAAAAGCAGGGCCAGAGGGCCACCCTGGTGGCACAGGGGTAAAGTCTCAGCATTATTAAGCTTTTGCCAGCCACTGCAACAAGAGTTTGATTCCTAGCCAGGGAGCTACCCACATGGCACAACAGACCTCTCCTGTCTCGCACACTGCTCCCCTCAGCAGTGTATTTCAGTAGTTCCACCTGTTCTGTTCCCCATTCTGTCTCTGGTGAATGCTCTCACCCCTGTACTTCTGGCTTACACCCCAGTTCTTGTATGTATAAATAAATAAAATCTTTTAAAAAAAAATAAAAGCAGGGCCAGAGAGCACAAGAGAGTGCATGAGCAGGAGGCCCAGGCTCCTATGTCACCTACTGTTTTGCACCATTACAAAATGAGCATTATTTTCTATTGCATAATGATATTACCACAAACTTAGCAGCCTAGAACAGCATGTATTTATTTATAAATTCCACAGGTCAGGACTTGGGCCATGGTGCTGGGTCCTATTCCTCAGATTCTCACAAAGCTACAATCTCATCAACAGACTCATACTGTCTGAGGATCAGCTGTGGACAGATTCCTTTTCAGTTTCATGTGATGATTATTGTCAGAATCCAGTTCCATGGGAACTGCCACATTGCAGGGTTCAGTTTCTTGTTGGCGCCTTCATCCCAAGTAATCTCTCCAGTTTTCTGGAAGCTCATAACATCATCGATCCTTCGCTTCAAAGCAAAGTGGACATGGAGGAGTATCCTTGCACACACAGTTGTGTGAAGTAAATAACATGCACATACTCATGTCCAGCCTACCACCTTCCCCATATTCTATCAATGAGAAGTAATTCAGGACCTGCCCACATGGAGGGGGAGAGGGTTACCCGAGAGAGTGAACCCCTGGAAGCAGGGACCAAGGACCCACCCTGAAGTCTACATAGACTGCAGGGAGGTATCCTGGGACCAGCTGAGAGAGAACAAAAATAAACTTGGTCATGGTAGGTCAGTTGGTATGTGTGTGCGAGACAAAAATGGGCGGCTGATGTACTGCAGCCTCACATAAGGGTGGCCCGCGGGCCATCAGTGAAGGATAAGCCACCAAACTACAGCATCAGGTGGCGTCTTGGTCATCTACTTTGTGACGAGAAGTGGTCTGAGATCCATGGGCAGTGGCAAGTGGTTTGGTCTGTCTGCCGTTAAAGACTTGAAGGACTGGAAGATGGAGGCTGGAGGTGCTGGAGAAGAGGTGTGGCAAGTGGACACTTGTCAAGTGGGCATGGATTGTGAGATCTTACTAACATGTTAATGCCCAGCACAGAGGATC